CTGTATTTACTGTTCTCTGTTTTAAGTAAAAACAACTGAAATTTAAGAACTTATTTGTAAATAGTAATAATATATATATATATATATATATACATATGTAATGTTTTACAACCAAAATGTGACTGCATTTTACATAATACTGATCCACCAGAACAAAGCCAAGACAGGTCACTTTGTAAAGGCCAGTTTTAAACTACTGGATACAGTGTGCCACATAATTGCAACTTCTGTAATGTAAGTCAGACATGGCTGAACGGTCAATAAAATAAAAATAATAAATATATATATATATAGATGTATAGTGTTACGAGATTTAAGCTATTTAGTCTAAACATTTGTGGTTTCATGTTATAATCTGAAGTCATTCTACAACAAAAAAAGCATAATTTATATCTAATTTTTATGGTGGTTACGAGGTCGGTCAAATCGAAGAAACCCATACAGAGATACAATAGTGGAAATAACAAATAAAATATAAAGTTTTTCAAAAAACAAACTAAAAACCTTTGATAACTATCTGGAAGTTATAAAGATTTCGCATGTGAAATTTGAACATTTTCTGATGCATAAAAGTATTTTTAATCTTATAATTAAAATTACTTTGCATGTTGGATAGTGAACATTCAAAAAGAAAAAATGCATGATCAAATCATTACTTAAGAAATCCTAAAACTTAATAAAAAAATCTGATATTTTGTGTATGAAAGCCTTGTAATGTTTACTGAGAATCTGCAAAATTTTGTGAAGATACAGATACTGTATTAAAAGTTATAGTATGAAAACTATAACAAGCACAAAATAGTTACGAGGTCAGTCCCTGGGACCGAGCCCATAGTGAGAGAGTTAATATGCTGTCAGTAGAAGGGAGTAGGTTAATTTAAGATATTTTCAGAGAGGGAGGGAACATATAAAATTAATACTTAATGGTTTAATATAATGTGTTGTCAGAATAACTAATACATCTTGAAAAGGCCTGAAACTTTAGTCCATATAAATGTAATTTTGAGTGTTTTACTGTTGTCTGTATCTTTAAAAGCTTTTTCTCTGCTAGTCAAGAGTCAATATTTCTTGCCTTGTGGGAAAGCCAATAAAGAAAAGTTTATCACATAATGAATATCTAGTAACTGTACTGAAAAAAAACTCTTGATTTTTTAATTAACTGTGTTCATATTATCAAATGCCTGTAATTAAACAGCATGTACTTCATTCAGCAAAGACATAAACTGAATTAAAATGACACATAAAGGTACTTTTACCAGTTCCTCCACAACAAACAATAAAGGGAATCATCTTATCCACCTGGCTGCGACACTGGACACATTTCTTCATAAGGGCAGCACACCCTAAACAGACACAAAACCAAAACTCGAGTAAGACTACAACAAAGTTTAATGTAATCAAAGTGATAAACAGATGAAACTAAAGTAAGAATACCACAAAATCTGATGTAATTAGAATGAGAGAGAGAGGAAAAACTCACAACTCAAGTTGGAATACTACAAAGTTTAATGTAATAAATAGACAAAAAAACAAAACTCAAGTAAGAATACCACAATGTGTGATGTAATCAGAATAATAACTAGACAAAACTCAAAGCTTAAGTAAGAATACCACAATGTCTGATGTAATCAAAATAGCCGAGATGAGAAATAGGAGACAATCCCAGGTACTTTCTTTTCTAACAATTTCACTCATTTTGAATGAAAACCTTCTATGGTTGTTACTTTTGCTGCAGAGGTGATTGATACACTGCCAGCAGAGTTATGACAGATTTGATACAGAGGCTTCTTTTGTGAGCTTCCTTGTCTAGCTTCACCACTGTATGGCCTAGCTCATGTATACATATATATATTCAGGTGACATGCAGTTGTTTTGCTTCCTGCCATCGGCTAGGCAACCAAACATCTGCAGTTTATGTAGTTCTGTCCGTGAGTCGGTTACAGATATTATGTTGGTGACACTCTGTTTGAAACTCTTCTTGTATTTCTTAAGCTCAGATTAACATTTTCATTTATTTCTTGTAAATTTTCCATTAATTTTGGTTTATTTTCAGAATACAATAGGCAACTTGGATTAACTTGTGTAGATTACACAATTTGTACTAAAATACTATTACTAGGCTAGCCTTAGCAATTGTTTGTACCACTAGTTATAGATATGTAACTCTATGTACATGTACAGAACTATCACTTTGTTAATTAAAGATCTAATGTTAGATATAACTTGAGTTTAGATTTAGTTAATGCACTAGGCATTAAGTCTGAGACAGGGACTAATTTATTGGTAAGATTAATCCTAGTGTTAAACCACCTGGAGCTTAGTTGTGTTTAACATTAGGGCGAGTGAATCTCTGGAATGTGGGATCAACAGTTAACAAACTTAGATCTGCAAGATTTACCGGATGGTGTCACATGTTTCGAGTAAATGGACAGATCATCAAGCAGAGAGGATACTTTGCTACACTTTATTTCTAAATGTTGGAAACAATACACAGACGCCTAGTTACCAGTTATAAGCAAAACTGATTGGTACATAAGATCTTGGTGAGGAGGCTTATCAACCCTATGGGCTAACCTAATAGGTTACTGGTCCACCATAGCTTGCTTACCTTGTTACAGACAGGGTTAGAAACAGTTCTGAATAGAAAGTGGTAAATGTAATCAAAATAATAAACAGATAAAATTAAAGTCAGACTAGAACAAGGTTTGAACTAATCAAAATAATAAACAGAAAAATTAAAGTCAGACTAGAACAAGGTTTGAACTAATCAAAATAATAAACAGATAAAATTCAAGTCAGACTAGAACAAGGTTTGAACTAATCAAAATAATAAACAGATAAAATTCAAGTCAGAATTGAACAAGTCAGAACAAGGTTTGAACTAATCAAAATAATACACAGATAAAATTCAAGTCAGACTAGAACAAGGTTTGAACTAATCAAAATAATAAACAGATAAGATTCAGGTCAGACTAGAACAAGGTTTGAACTAATCAAAATAATAAACAGATAAAATTCAAGTCAGACTAGAACAAGGTTTGAACTAATCAAAATAATAAACAGATAAAATTCAAGTCTGACTAGAACAAGGTTTGAACTAATCAAAATAATAAACAGATAAGATTCAGGTCAGACTAGAACAAGGTTTGAACTTATCAAAATAATATACAGATAAAATTCAAGTCTGACTAGAACAAGGTTTGAACTAATCAAAATAATAAACAGATAAAATTCAAGTCAGACTAGAACAAGGTTTGAACTAATCAAAATAATAAACAGATAAAATTCAAGTCAGACTAGAACAAGGTTTGAACTAATCAAACTAGGTTAATATAAAACTGACAATAAAAATCAAACAAAAATTTTTTCATAAAATGAATTCAAACTAAAGTCTGAAATGCAATATTTACAAATATTTTCAACCCAAAATCTGAGATGTTATTAAACATTAACCAGACCAAATCCTGGTTAATCACCTCATCCATTCTCAGAAGAACAAAAAATCTGAGTCATCAATACTACAAATCCTGGTTAATCACCAACCAGACCAAATCCTGGTTAATCACCAACCAGACCAAATCCTAGTTAATCACCAACCAGACCAAATCCTGGTTAATCACCAACCAGACCAAATCCTGGTTAATCACCAACTAAACCAAATCCTGGTTAATCACCAACCAGATCAAATCCTGGTTAATCACCAACCAGACCAAATCCTGGTTAATCACCAACTAAACCAAATCCTGGTTAATCACCAACCAAACCAAATCCTGGTTAATCACCTCATCCATTCTCAGAAGAACAAAAAATCTGAGTCATCAATACTCCAAATACTGGTATGTTAATATATACATATAGCTGTGACTATGTGATTCTAGATGCAAAGGTGTGGATACCAGTGACTCATCACTCTCAACATATAGAAAATTAAACAGAAAAATGTTCAACAGAAACATTTGCAGAACAAATGCTTAAAAAGAGTTATTGCAATCTATCAGTTTACAAAACTCAAGAAATAGACATTTAACTGCTCAACAACAAAGATTTAAGAAATGAAACCTTGAGAAATGTCATGGTGTTAATTAAAAATTGATCACAGAAATCATCTCAAAAACTTAAAACAAAAAAAATGTTTAACTCCTGTCCATAGCCTAAACTTTTCTTAAATAAATAAGGTATATTTAAAATAAGATATAATATCTGTCGAGTATTGTAATTCATTCGGTAAGTGCTTCACCCATGTTTGAAAGTAAGGTTTGGATTTTGCTGGTGGAGATCTCCATCAGCACCTGGTGAAACTCCACACTAGTATTATACTAGGAATTACCAATAATAAAATTCATCAATGTTCCTTTGATACAATACAGGTTCTTTAAATGTAGCACATTACAAAGTTACAAAAGTAAATATCATGGTCTGTTTTATTAAGACTTTAGAAGAAAGTTAGGAATAGCACACCTAAAATAACCTAAGATTTCAAGAAAATTCCCTAATTGTGACTTGCTTTTAAAAATATTTTTTCTTTGAAAATTTCTCATTTCCAGAACAGTTAAAAAAACCAGATGTGATACAGAAGGAGCGATCAAATTTTAATAGGTTATTCATACATACCATCACATGCACACATGTGTCCACAAGGTTTAAATAAGACTGATGCTCGTTTGTCGGAACACACTACGCATTCTTCAACCTGAAAAAAATAAAAAGAAGAAAAGAACACTCATTAATTATTATATTCAATAATTTCCTGCAGCAAAACAAAAGTTACAGATAATGAAACATTGATGGCAGCTGTTGGTGCATAGTATTCACTGCCTAGGTATCATAGTGACATTGTTGGCAGCTGTTGGTAAATAGTATTCACTGCCAAGGTATCATACTGACATCGTTGGCAGCTGTTGGTAAATAGTATTCACTGCCAAGGTATCATACTGACATCGTTGGCAGCTGTTGGTAAATAGTATTCACTGCTTAGATATCATAGTGACATTGTTGGCAGCTGTTGGTAAACAGTATTCACTGCCTAGGTATCATAGTGACATCATTGGCAGCTGTTGGTAAATAGTATTCACTGCTTAGATATCATAGTGACATCGTTTGCAGCTGTTGGTAAATAGTATTCACTGCCTAAGTATCATAGTGACATCGTTTGCAGCTGTTGGTAAATAGTATTCACTGCCTAGGTATCATAGTGACATCGTTGGCAGCTGTTGGTAAATAGTGTTCACTGCTTAGATATCATAGTGACAATGTTTGCAGCTGTTGGTAAATAGTATTCACTGCCTAAGTATCATACTGACATCATTGGCAGCAGTTGGTAAATAGTATTCACTGCCTAGGTATCATAGTTGGCAGCTGTTGGTAAACAGTATTCACTGCCTAATTATCATAGTGACATCATTGGCAGCTGTTGGTAAATAGTATATGCAGTTTCATAATATTGTTTGTTTGTTTGTAATTAAGCACAAAGCTACACCATGGGCTATCTGTGCTCTGCCCACCACGGGTATCAAAACCCGGATTCTAGCATTGTAAGTCCACAGACATACCGCTGTGCCACTAGGGGCTTCATCATATTACTCTGACACAACCTATTATTTTAATCAGATAAAAAGTATATATTTGACGAGTTAACACAAGGAAAGGCAGTAACAGGTATGTTACCTATTTTTCTGTTTTGTCAAGGAGATTAAGTTCAGCATATCATATAATGATGATTATTATATATACACTGATATTTATATTAAGTAATTCTTGTCTATAAACTTATCATGTTTAAGTAATATTATTCTTATTTTCACAGACGAAAGCATAAACAAGTTTAAAATGTTCTCCATTTTAAACCTGTAGTTCAAATATATATTTTGTCAAACAATTCCTAATAAGTGAGTTTAGAGTGGTATTCTTTGTTACAACTTTTAGGTTCAAGAGAGATTCATTATCCTCAAACCATCATATATACATAAAATGTATCTAACCAGTGCTGGCCATATGGTTACATTAGGTGATTGACGTAATGAGATTCCAACATTTGGAGAGAACTAAACAATACACTGGAATACCAAGGCAACAAGCCATGTGGTTGTAACAACACTAACATACTACAAAACCTCTATACACCAATACTTTAGGTACATGTAACAACACTAACATACTACAAAACCTCTATACAACAATATTTCAGGAACATGTAACAACACTAACATACTACAAAACCTCTGTATAACAATACTTTAGGAACATGTAACAACACTAACATACTACAAAACCTCTATACACCAATACTTTAGGAACATGTAACAACACTAACATACTACAAAACCTCTATAAACCAATACTTTAGGTACACGTAACAACACTAACATACTACAAAACGTCTATACAACAATACTTTAGGAAATGCAACAACACTAACATACTACAAAACCTCTGTACACCAATACTTTACGAACATGTAACAACACTAACATACTACAAAACCTCTATACACCAATACTTTAGGTACACGTTACAATACTACAAAACGTCTATACAACAATACTTAGGTACACGTAACAACACTAACATACTACAAAACGTCTATACAACAATACTTTAGGAACATGTAACAACACTAACATACTACAAAACCTCTATACACCAATACTTAGGTACACATAACAACACTAACATACTACAAAACCTCTGTACACCAATACTTTACGAACATGTAACAACACTAACACACTACAAAACCTCTGTACACCAATACTTTACGAACATGTAACAACACTAACATACTACAAAACCTCTATACACCAATACTTAGGTACATGTAACAACACTAACATACTACAAAACGTCTATACACCAATACTTTAGGAACATGTAACAATACTAACATACTACAAAACGTCTATACACCAATACTTAGGTACACATAACAACACTAACATACTACAAAACCTCTATACACCAATACTTAGGTACATGTAACAACACTAACATACTACAAAACGTCTATACAACAATACTTTAGGTACACGTAACAACACTAACATACTACAAAACCTCTATACACCAATACTTTAGGTACACGTAACAACACTAACATACTACAAAACCTCTATACACCAATACTTTAGGTACACGTAACAACACTAACATACTACAAAACCTCTATACACCAATACTTTAGGTACACGTAACAACACTAACATACTACAAAACCTCTATACACCAATACTTTAGGTACACGTAACAACACTAACATACTACAAAACCTCTATACAACAATACTTTAGGAACATGCAACAACACTAACATACCACAAAACGTCTATACACCAATACTCTAGGTACATGTAACAACACTAACATACTACAAAACCTCTATACACCAATACTTTAGGAACATGCAACAACACTAACATACTACAAAACCTCTATACAACAATATTTCAGGAACATGTAACAACACTAACATACTACAAAACCTCTATACACCAATACTTTAGGAACATGTAACAACACTAACATACTACAAAACCTCTATACACCAATACTTTAGGAACATGTAACAACACTAACATACTACAAAACCTCTATACAACAATATTTCAGGAACATGCGAGTACAAAAGATAGTGGAGAACACTCTAATGCTGATAAGGATTAGATAATAAATTAATAAATATAAATTAAAACTATAAAATATAAACATAATGACGACAAAATAACTGCAAAATCAAATACTGAAAAGAGAATTTAAAAATAGCAGTTTTACTGTTCTTTCGTACAAATTATTTATGAAACAAAAAATCCACATGAATGTAAAGTTTAACTCAGCGGTTCTATTCCTTATCACTAATTTTTTTACTATTTCTTGGGGAAAGTAATTTTGTACTGTGTTTACAACATGTCTTAAAAACAAGGAAATTGCTTCATTAGCATGTAATGATGCAAAATTTTAGCTAAGTAGTTGCTTATAATTTCTGATTTTGGTCTACTAGGCATATTCTGTCACTCCTCCCTTCTGATTTAGAGAGGTGAGATGTCTCAAAACATATATATTTCTCACCATATATATATATATATATATATTGCAGTCATTGTTTCTAACACTTGCCACCAATTTCAATCTTATGTGCAATATTTTCAATGTTTTTAATATATTTTAATAATTTTGAGAATATGCAAGAAACAAAGAAAAAAAAAGAAAACTTCTTAGCATTAGAGTGTTTACAAAACAAACATTTACATCACAGTTTCAACTTGTAATTAAAATAAATGTAACAGGAATATTTAAGAATGGAAATGTAACAAAAATATTTGAGATTTTCAGCTTAAACCAAAACTAAACACAAGTTACGATTACACAAACAGGTCAGTCTCTAGGTCAGACAGCATACCTTAGTACGAGACTGAACTGGTTCCTTACACATCAAACACTTCTTGACCCGTGGGGAGCAAAGGGAACAAGTTGCAATGTGACCACATGGCCCAAAGAGTGTGTCACGTTTCATGTCAGAACAAACCATACACTCCTCCAATGTGTCTCGATCAGGTGGTGGCGTGAGGGTTGGAGGGTTTGGATCTTGCAGTCCACTGTCAAGTGAAGAACGTATATGCTCAAAGATCAGTTTCAGGAAAACCCAAAGGGTGACATTTCTGATACACATTTCATATAAGTTTAATAACAGAATAACTTATAGCTATCACCAAATAATCACATATTTATATAGGGTAAAAATACTTCAAACAGTCAATACTGGCAAAATAATTCAAGTCAAATGAAACTTGTGTTCCAAGCTAGAAAGTGGTATAAATGTTTTATATTTTTTGTAAAGTAATTACGTTTTTTCACTTTTTTACGACTCAAAGTTCTATAAAAGATAACTTTCTAACTTACCATACACTCGAACAACTAAAAGTTTCACACTAAACAAGATTTTCCATAACAATTATATTTCTACTTTTTAACGTGACTTTAGAGAGGTGTCATTCCTGTTTTGGATGCACACAAATCTAAAGTAGAAGTAACGACTCTTTCAATTCAATTACATGTGACATTACTAATATAAAAACATAATTTTGTTCACCAAACCTGAAATAGCTTGACCTGTTCTATAACTACATCTTTTTAAGTACCAGATTTAAAGTGTTAAGAAAAACAAACAAACCTGTAATATAATGACTATGATGCACAGTCTCTGTAACATTTAACTGTAAAAGCTTCAAGCCCTTGATATCATCAGTTTCTAATATTTAATTGGAACACTCAAGCTATTACTACATCTTCAGCATCTCTAACATTTAGCTGTAAATGTTTCAAGCTCCTATTATTTTCAGTCTCTGTAACATTTAACTCTAACATTTCAAGCTTTTACTATCTTTAATCTCTGCATTATACAACTGTATAAGTTTCAAGTCCTTCCTATCCTCAAACTCTGTAACATTTAACTGTAACATTTCAAGCTTTTACTATCTTTAATCTCTGCATTATACAACTGTATAAGTTTCAAGTCCTTCCTATCCTCAAACTCTGTAACATTTAACTGTAACATTTCAAGCTTTTACTGTCTTCAGTCTCTGCATTATACAACTGTATAAGTTTCAAGTCCTTCCTATCCTCAAACTCTGTAACATTTAACTGTAACATTTCAAGCTTTTACTATCTTTAATCTCTGCATTATACAACTGTATAAGTTTCAAGTCCTTCCTCTCCTCAATCTCTGTAACATTTAACTGTAATATTTCAAGCTTTTACTGTCATCAATCTCTGCATTATACAATTGTATAAGTTTCAAGTCCTTCCTATCTTCAATCTCTGTAACATTTAAAGCTTTTACTATCTTCAGCACTTAACTATATTAGTTTCAAACACCTACTACTTTTACTATTTGTAACATTAAGCTACTTAATGCTTGATAGCTGGTTTAAATCATGTATCTGTGACATATCATGAAGTTTTGTTTATTAACAGCAACAGCTTGTTGCATCGATGGTTGATACAAGTAACTTCTGCTTCCCTAGAGATGGGAAAACAGAGATTACCAAATATGATAAGAGGTATCAACGAGTGTTGTCACAGATTGTTGCTACCGCATAAACAAATGTCATCATTTATTAGTTTGCTTAAATTTAAAACCCTTACAGTTTTCATTCTTGTAAAATCTGTCTGTAGATATAAAATTGTGTGTAAATCTCTACTCTTCAAGTGAGATATAGCATTAAATTCTGGTCTTACATAAGTTTCGAATATCTCACACATGCTTTGAAGATCCTAAGTTTTTAATTAATATTACCTTGCTCGTTCTTTGAAGCACTTAGTTAAAGCTTTACACAAGTTTGGATCGGGACACAGATCCAGAGGAGTTTGGCCTTTTTTATTTTTAATGTTCAGGTCTGCTCCATAAGAAACCAAGAAACAAGCTATAGTTGCACTGCTCTTTTTATCAGCTCCTTGAGTTCCCAGTCCCATCAGCAACTATAAAAACAAATCAGCATTTATATTATAAATAAATAATAATAAATGTTAAAACTTGATCTGATAAAAGTTGTGAACCATGAAAATACATGTACTTCTTTCCAAACATTATTCAATATTGATTTTTCACAAAAACTACCAAATATTGCATCACAAAAAACTTTCCAATAATAAAAAACACTACGTAATGCAAAAAAAAAAAAATTAACAGACATATTTTTTTCATGAAAAACCTGATTTACTGATAGTTCCATTCCTTTCTGTTTTTACAATACACTACAACATTGTTAATAATGAAAGTGTAAAAATATAATATCAGCAACCAAAATTACAACAAAAATTATATAGTGAAACTGTTCAACACGCCAAACAATTTTAGCTTTTTTATGCTGCAGTTGAAATAACTTCTAGCTTTAATCTTCCATAACTAGTAAAAAATACATCTTTATTTAGTTCAGGTAAATTTTGCTAAATTTTCATGCAGATGTTCTGCATGTGGACAGTGACATCTTTGCAAATAGAATGTGAAAGGTTGTTAACTTGTGGTAATTATGGAGCTTATACAAAGACTACATACTGCACAATTGTTCTGTAAGGCTTAAACTTGCTTGACTCTGTTTCTGAGTTGTGGTGTGCCTGCCTGCAATAAGGTTAAACTCATTTCAAAGGGAAGTACAAAGACTTGTACAAGTTAGTATGAGTTGATGATTGATCTCCCTTGAATGTGTATAATGGAAGTGATCATTCATGTAGGTATAAAACTGTGGGATATAGAAGCAGGACTCATATCTGACCTAGAAATGCGATATCATCATTATTTGTGCTCCCATCTTCATGTCATACAGATGTGCTTTCGCCAACTCAAGCAGTGAGAGATGTTCTGTACAACAGAATTCTTTAACTGTATGTGTTCGAAATTATTATTTTCTAAACATTTCATGAACTTTCTGTAAATTGTGGTACTTATAACATAAGTGTGCCTGAATATATGTCCTGCACGATAAATATGGTGCAATAAACTGTCTTAATTTTCTGAATATGTATCTTTTGTAAAGATATGATTCCTAAGGGGAAGTGTGTGTTTCTGGTGTTATATGCTTTCACATCTTACTTTGTAACGGGAGTAAACAGGACCAGTCACTAGATGGTGTTATACTAGTAGAGTATGCACCAGTAGGACTATGAAATCAATGTATGAAAGCTTAACAAGTGACCAATGAATACATGCATATGGTGTCAACATTATTTTAATCAAAAGAATGTGTTTAATAATGGTTTTAACATTATTTTAATCAAAAGAATGTGTTTAATAATGGTTTTAACATTATTTTAATCAAAAGAATGTGTTTAATAATGGTTTCAACATTATTTTAATCAAAAAATGTGTTTAATCATTGTTTTAACACTATAATCAAAAAATGTGTTTAATCATGGTTTCAACACTATTTTAATCAAAAAATGTGTTTAGTCATGGTTTAATCACTATGTTAACTATAATAATGTGTTTAATCATGGTTTTAACACTATTTTAATAAAAATAATGTGTATGTACATGGTTAACATGCATATTTTAACTAACAAAAATGTGTATGTACCAAGTTTGAACACATAAATATTCCCACACAAGGTGTAAGTGAAAGTTGTGAATACATGATATAGTTTATACTATGTAGTTCCTGATATAGTTTATACTGTGTAGTTCCTCATATAGGTTATACTATGTAGTTCCCGATATAGTTTCTACTATGTAGTTCCCGATATAGTTTCTACCATGTAGTTCCCGATATAGTTTCTACCATGTAGTTCCCGATATAGTTTATCTTGTGTAGTTCCTGATATAGTTTATATTATGTAGTTCCTGATATAGGCTATACTATGTAGTTCCCGATATAGTTCCTGATAGAGTTTATTCTATGTAGTTCCTGATAGAGTTTATACTATGTAGTTTCTGATATAGTTTATTCTATGTAGTTTCTGATATAGTTTAAATTATGTAGTTTCTGATAGAGTTTATTCTATGTAGTTTCTGATATAGTTTATTCTATGTAGTTCCTGATAGTTTATTCTATGTAGTTCCTGATAGAGTTTATTCTATGTAGTTTCTGATAGAGTTTATTCTATGTAGTTTCTGATAGAGTTTATTCTATGTAGTTTCTGATAGAGTTTATTCTATGTAGTTTTTGATAGTTTATACTATGTAGTTCCTGATATAGTTTATTCTATATAGTTCCTGATATAGTTTATTCTATGTAGTTCCTGATAGAGTTTATTCTATGTAGTTTCTGATAGTTTATACTATGTAGTTCCTGATAGTTTATACTATGTAGTTCCTGATATAAACTATATCAGGAACTACATAGTATAAACTATATCAGGAACTACATAGAATAAACTATATCAGGAACTACATAGAATAAACTATATCAGGAACTACATAGAATAAACTAATATCGGGAACTACATAGTAGAAACTATATCGGGAACTACATAGTAGAAACTATATCGGGAACTACATAGAATAAACTATATCAGGAACTACATAGTATAAACTCTATCAGGAACTAAATAGTATAAACTATATCAGGCTACATAGTATAAACTATATCAGGAACTACATAGTATAAACTATATCAGGAACTACATAGTATAAACTATATCAGGAACTACATAGTATAATCTATATCAGGAACTACATAGTATAAACTCTCTCAGGAACTACATAGTATAATCTATATCAGGAACTACATAGTATAAACTCTATCAGGAACTACATAGTACTACATAATATAAACTATATCAGGAACTACACAAGATAAACTCTATATCGGGAACTACATAGTAGAAACTATATCGGGAACTACATAGTATAACCTATATCAGGAAAACTACATAGTATAACCTATATCAGGAACTACATAATATAAACTATATCAGGAACTACACAAGATAAACTATATCGGGAACTACATGGTAGAAACCCGATATAGTTCCTGATAGAGTTTATACTATGTAGTTTCTGATATAGTTTATATTATGTAGTTTCTGATAGAGTTTATTCTATGTAGTTTCTGATATAGTTTATTCTATGTAGTTCCTGATAGAGTTTATACTATGTAGTTCCTGATAGTTTATTCTATGTAGTTCCTGATTGAGTTTATTCTATGTAGTTTCTGATAGAGTTTATTCTATGTAGTTTCTGATATAGTTTATTCTATGTAGTTCCTGATATAGTTTATTCTATGTAGTTTCTGATATAGTTTATTCTATGTAGTTCCTGATATAGTTTATTCTATGTAGTTTCTGATAGTTTATACTATGTAGTTCCTGATATAGTTTATTCTATGTAGTTCCTGATATAGTTTATACTATGTAGTTCCTGATAGTTTATTCTATGTAGTTCCTGATATAGTTTATTCTATGTAGTTCCTGATATAGTTTATTCTATGTAGTTCCTGATATAGTTTATACTATGTAGTTCCTGATATAGTTTATTCTATGTAGTTCCTGATAGAGTTTATACTATGTAGTTTCTGATATAACACCTCAACAGGAACACTTGATTCTCCACTGTGAACAAAGTCTTTCAGAGACCACAATAACTGTTTTTTTTTCACTTGAGAAACATCCGCAACTTTTGTATAGCAACTATCTTTGCCCATGTAAAGCCAATAACAGACCTTTTACAAGCTCAAGTTATTTTCATGAAGGTAGAAGGTTATGAGTAAACACATAAAACATTTATCTACTATACATACATTCAAAACTTTTTTTCTAAATTTAGATTTTTAGGTAATTGTACTTTTAATTTAATCAATTTAAAAAAAGGTATTTTTAATTTAAATACTTACTTGTGAGGAAAATATTATTTCTGAAACTCTGACCATAAGAAAACCCAATACAAATATCAAGCTTTAAAAATTATTTTAAAATCTGTTTCTAAATCCCCATGAGTTGCTGGGTAAACTTGGGAATTTTCTAATCGAGTAAACAAATAAAATTGAAAGGTAATAGGTTTGATAATGAACTAAAATTTTATCCTAAAAACGGCAGTTCATATTTTTTTTTTACATTTCTAATTTTGAAAAACCTAATGAAACAAAATTAAAAAATGAAGAGTCATTAAAGGACAAACCTCAGTATTGGGCCCCACCTTGCCCACGTCTTGTCTGTCCTGGAGTTGTCGAAGTTGAGAGAGTGTGTGATGTCGGAGAGCTTCATGCAGTGGGGTATCTCCATCCTTATCAGGGATGTTCAAGTTACAGCCTTCACGCACAAGGAGCTAAGACAAAATATAAACCATTAATTATAATCAAATTCATAGAACTTGTTGAAATTCTTTAAATGAGATATTTTTACAATACATTAAATTTTAAAATATTTTCAATTATATATATACATACTAACAACCTTGTCAAAGTGACTACAATATACTATTTCATGATCTTCTTTCTGTAACCTACTTCAACCTGTACATAAACTCACCTAGATGCAAGGTAGCTTAGTTTGAATTTCTCACAAAATTACACGAGGGCTATCTGTGCTAGCCATCCCTAATTTAGCAGTGTAAGACTAGAGGGAAGGCAACTAGTCATCACCACCCACCTCCAACTCTTGGGCTACTCTTTTACCAATGAATAGTAGGATTGACCATAACATTATAATGCCCCCATGGCTGAAAGGGCAAGCATGTTTGGTGGTACGGGGATTCGAACCCTAGACCCTCGGATTGGGAGTCGAGCACCCTAACCACCTGGCCCTAGATGCAAGGTTAAATATTATATGTATTTTTACTATGTTTTTAAAAGCAGCATTCCATTTTAAGAAAGACTGAAATTCTCTTCAATGTTTCTTAAAATAAACTACAAGATATTATGAATTTATACAAATGCCATTAAAGAGAAAATAATGATGGATCAGTAACTAAAGAAGTTGCCAGAAAAACATATCATACTTTTATTACTGTGTCAACAGATATAGGATCAATTAGTGTTGAGAAGGATCATACAATAAAAGAAACTGTGGATAATTAGTAATTATTAAAATCAAGCAAGTGAAGATATCATGAACGGATCAGTAATTATAAAAGAAACATTGCCAGATTTGGATGATTATTGAATAGAACTTGTGTAGAGATCGTGGATGGATTTGTAGTTATGAAAAAACATGTTACCAGACTGTGGATGACTATTCCTTATAAAGTAAGTATATTAATGTTGCATTGATTGATTAATAATCACAAAAGTAAGTATATTAACGTAGCATTGATTGAATATTAATTACAAAAGTAAGTATATTAACAAAGCATGGATTGATTAGTAATTACAAAAGTAAGTATATCAACATAGCATGGATTGATTAGTAATTACAAAAGTAAGTATATTAACATAGCATGGATTGATTATTAATTACAAAAGTAAGTATATTAATGTAGCATTGATTGATTAGTAATTACAAAAGTAATATTAACATAGCATAGATTGATTAGTATTTACAAAAGTAAGTATATTAACAAAGCATGGATTGATTAGTAATTACAAAAGTAAGTATATTAATGTAGCATTGATTGATTAGTAATTACAAAAGTAAGTATATTAACGTGGCATGGATTGATTAGTATTTACAAAAGTAAGTATATTAAAGCATGGATTGATTAGTAATTACAAAAGTAAGTATATTAATATAGCATTGATTGATTAGTAATTACAAAAGTAAGTATATTAACATAGCATGGATTGATTAGTAATTACAAAAGTAAGTATATTAACGTGGCATGGATTGATTAGTAATTACAAAAGTAAGTATATTAACGTG